TGTTTGTATTACGGGAATTTAAGGGTAAAATGATTTACGTTCGTTTGAGCGAAGCGAATTAGAACGTAAACATAATTTATGAAGGGCTTTTGTTGATGGCCTTATCAGGATGATGATGAAAAAGTATCTTCTTCTAAAAAAACGTACCCAAATTAAGACTACCTTATTATATAAAATATTAAAACGATTCACGTTGACAACGAGTTAATAAAGTGCATCGTTAATTTTCTATTATAAGTGCAAAAATCATACCCAATTTGTGACTAAACCGGTTGAAAACTATTCTCTTTGGGGCCGCACCTATCTATATAGCCCATATAAGGAAGTACCTCCAACAGTTAACAAAAATCTTAGAGATTAATTACCACTGCATTAAAAGTCCTTGTTTACAAAAGTTAAAAATTTATTTTGATCACTGTAAAACATTTGTTTTAAAAGGCCTTAGGGGGGTCGCAATGGGGTTAATATAATTTTTGGCTTTTTATTAGGCCCAAAGGTTAATTTATTTTCCTTATTGTTAACAGAAGTCCTATAAATTAATTACCATTAGTTTAATAAGTTAACAATTAATTTTCATCGTTTAAAAGAAACAAAAATTTATTTTGATTACTGTAAAACATATTTAGGGTCTCAGGACCATTCCGGGACGGAAAAAAAGTATACTTATAAGAATTGTACATAGTGTAATATAGCTAATAAAGCACAAAACAAAAACACTGTCAATGCCATGACTTTTTTTAAAGTATGCTTCCAGTCGAGCCTAAACCTAAAAGAAGACAAACAAGTACAGTCGTAGAGTACATACTATTAAATTTGGAAAACTGGTCGCTGAGGAGAGTTGGTCTCTTACGAGAGGTGGTCGCAACCAGAGGTTCGACTGTATTTCCAAACACCCAAGCGACTATAATTTTTCTTGTTTTTACTTGAACAATGGCGATAGCTATGAAAAAAATCTGACTGCTTTAAATTTTAAGCACCGGAAATGAGTTTTAACCAAGATTTCTCAGCCTGCACAACGTTG